TGTAAATGGAGTGGTAGGTTATCACTAGCAACTGCAGATGCTGGGCCAGCAAACCCCACACCCCATGCCAAGGAGTTTTGATGCCCCAGAGCAGAGCTCAGTGAGTGTAAGTGAAAAACACAAATTGCAGTTGAAAATCATCAAATTAAAAGGGGCCAGTTTTGGCCACTGACTTTTATGCCATTGCATTAGGCCCTGTGGGAGTGACTGTGTTCAACACCAGACATTGTTCAAAAGCCAACTGTACTTTCATCATGCGATACGTTAAGGCTAGTGCATTGCTAGCGAAAGCTTAGAGCGAAAATGAGGATGGAAATCAATCTCTCTGGCTAAATAGAAATCTCAAATTCTGGAGCTAACCTCTCAGATCTCACCAGTTGACCTGCATGAATAAGTCCAATCCCCCCACCTACCTGACCGCCTGAATTCCCATGGAAGCAGACAAACTCTACATTTACACGTGTAATTTAGGAGCCAGATTTGGCAAACTGCTCCCTACTGTTTTAACAAGCATCAGTCAGCATTTCATTCACAGTTGTATAGGCCTCCAAGAACAGCCCACGGAGGAGGGTGCGTCTGGAATCAATGAACTCCAAGATGGTGAAATTCCAAGAACAGCCCACGGAGGAGGGTGCATCTGGAATCAATGAACTCCAAGGTGGTGGAACGCAGTAGCCTGAAGTTGGATCAGAAAGACACTAGACCCGTGGCCAACAGATAAAACCTCTGGTATTAGTGGGTGCCCTGTCCAGAAGCAGTGGAGTTGACAGTCAAATCAGAATTGAACCTCTTTTTATTAACCACCTTTTCACTGCTCCTCTCTTATAACTTTGCAACCTTATTTTAGTTGATTCAAGATAAATAAAAAGAGAAACTGCTCCAACAGGAGCAAAGAGGATAGACTATTATATCAGAAGTATAAGCAAAACTGTATTCCACAAGGGGGGGATTTAATATACAGAAATATACCTCGTCAGTTTTTAATTTCACAAATGTAATTCTATTTAGCATGGTAATTACCTTCCAAAAACCAGCTTTTCCTCACATCCCTCTGAATCTTCACTATAACTTTAAATACTGATGAGATCTGGTTCACCCCATGGATTGGCTTGCACCTGGAATGGTAGTCAGTTAATTTATCAGCTAGTAAAGTCCCACGCCCTGGCGCCTACGGCAGATGTGGTCGTAGCAAGTCTGTTTCAATGTGAGCGTGACTCATCGAGACACCTGCCAGGAGAGGTGATGTGGTTACATCACATGTTTACCTTCCGAGCATGATCTGTGATCTCACTGCAGCGGTCTGTTTGTGTATTAACTCTGCGTGCTGTGGGCTGCTCTTTCATCACAAGGGTCCCAATCCTGTGAAGGGTGTGAGGGTCTCCTATGAGGCGCGTATGGCTCTCAATTCTAAGACGTCAGCTTCTTGCAGAACTGGGTCCATTCAAAACGAAGGCCAGTCCTCTGCTAGCATTATATCACCATGGCATGAGTCAAGACTAGGGAGGGGCAGAGCTTCAGGTGGAAGAGGGCAGAACGGGGGGCAGCCAGGGAGCATGCAATGCCATAAATCCTCCCCTCCCTCATAGGGTTGCCAGATGGTTTAACCAAAAATACTGACCCCCCCCCCAAAAAATCACTGGGGTAAAAATTCTGTTGAGAGGGGAAAAAAAAGGGGGAAACCAAGGTAAGCGGGGGAGGTGGGGCTGGGCCCGGTTGCTGAGTGTGTGTAGGGTTGCCAGGTGTCCGGTATTGACCCGGACAGTCTGGTATTTTCACTCCCTCGCTGGGAAAAACTCAGAAAATATCAGACGTTTTAGGACATTTTAGGTGTCCGGTATTTTCTGACATTTTTTACAGGACAGGAGGTGAAAATACTGGACTGTCTGGGTCAATACTGAACACCTGGCAACCCTACTCCCTTCCCAGCCTGCACCCCCCCCCACCCCCCGCCCGTCCCCGCGCTGCCCGGCGCGCACCACGCCGCAAACCCTCCCCTCCCCCGCCAGGCCTAGCGCTGCCCGGACGCACTTAGTGTGTATTCAGCAGCAATTTAAAGGACTCGGCGTTCTGGTTTCTGCCATTGCTGCAGCAGCGATGGTGGCAAGTGGGAGGCGCTGGCCCTTTGGCATTGTGGAGGCCCAGGCCGGTCACCCGCCTTGTCGGAGGCCTGTGCCAATGCAACGTTCACTGTGAACACGGTTTTAGAAAGAAACGAGCAGACGGGGTCAGATCAGTGGTCTCTCTAGCCCAATGTCCTGCCTTCTGGCAGCGGCCAATGCCGGGTGCTTCAAATGGAATAGATGGACCTGGTCATTATGCAGTGATCCAACCCCTGCCTAGCCCTGGCTTCTGCAGTCAGCGGTTTAGGGAACCCAGCGCATGGGGGGACATCCCTGACCATCTCGGTTACTAGCCATCGATGTAACGTCTCTCATTTTTCCCCCCCCCCGGGGCCAGTTCTAATTTTTGCCTTCACCACATCACCTGGCAATGAGGTTTTACTGTGCGTTGCGTAAAGAAATATTTCCCTGTTGTTTCTTTTAAACCTCCTGCCTATTCACTTCATTGGGTGACCTTCTCGTGCCTTGTGCAGGGGTGAATAACACTTCCTTATTCACTTTCTCCACACGAGTCATGGTTTTATAGACCTCTGTTGTATTCCCCCTTAGTTATCTTTCTTTCTAAGCTGAACAGTCCTAGTCTTAAATCTCTTCTGGTAGGGAAACTGTTCCATTTCCTCCAAAGCATTTTTGTTGCCCTTTTCTTAACCTTTTCCAGAGCCAATACATCATTTTTGAGATGGGGTGAGCACGTCTGTACTCGGTATTCAAGATATGGGTGTACCACAGATTTATCCGGTAGCATTCTGATATGTTTTCTCTTAGTGTCTATATATAGTCTCTTAGCTCTTTACATCTTACAGCAATTTGCACTTTCATGTTAGGCTTTCTTAACATGGCTGACTTTTGTTGTTGTTGTTATATAAAGAGCAAGAGAGGAAGCCTCACCCAGTACTTAGAGTACAACGTATGATTCAGGAATCCAGGGTTCAATTCCATACTCTGCCACAGACTTCCTGTGGGACCTTCGGCAAGTCACTTAGTATGCTGGTGCTTCAGTTTCCTGTGTCATAGATGGGAATTCTCTCTAATCCCTACTTCACAGGGTTTTTTTGAGATTCCTGTGGGACCTTTGGCAAGTCACTTAGTATGCTGGTGCCCCAGTTTCCTGTGTCATAGATGGGAATTATCTCTAATCCCTACTTCACAGGGCTTTTTTGAGCCTAACTGCATTAAAGATTGTGAGATGCTCAGACATACACATGGAGTGAAAACCAAATAAACACCTAAGAAAGACTGCTCACGTGCAACATAATTGCAGGGGAATCTGGAGAAAAGCAATTGATTCTACAGATTTTTTCCTGTGATCTCTTAAATCATATCGGCCTCCTCATATTACGGTGATAACACATAATTCTGAGAGACATTAAACAGAATGATCTTATACCTTATTCACTATATGTGATTTATTGGCATGTTCATTGGACTGAAAACTTCATCATGGGAAGGTAAGTTTCTTTGTGCTGTTCTTCACTATTTTAGCTCTCGTGACGTCTCCTTTTCCTGGTGAATGTTGCTGTATTTCCTGATGAACACCTGACAGTCCTTAGCTATAGATGAGCTCTGCCAATAACTCAACATTTCTTCTTTTATTTGGGGCCAGATTCTGATTTGCTTATTCACAATTGTACCTTACTCCAGAAATCTGCCTTCAGTAGAACCCCTCATGTAGTTAGTTTTTATTAGATAATGGGATCGGACGTTGGCCCATACTCATTTTATTCTCTGCTTTTTCTGTTATCAGAGACCACAACAGATTCAAAACTTCAGTCACAGGAAAGTGCAGATAATCAAAAACAGGTAAATCCTATTCTACATCTCCGAAGCAGAGCTGGGCAATTTTTTTTTCATGCAAACGGATTTTTTTCACCAAAAATGCAAATTTGGTTGGACTGAAACCATTTGTGAATATGAATCACATTCACTAAAAAGTTTGAGCTGAAAAAAAAAAGTTTACAATCTTTATTTTTTTGAAATGCCAAAACATTTTGCCTTTTGTTTCCGAAAGACAGCATTTCTGAATGCAACAAATGGAAAGTTTGAAAGCCCTGGAAAACAAAATCAAGCTGTCCAAAATGAACAAACAAATGAGTCGAACAAAATTATTTATTTTAGTGTTATTTGCAGCTGAAACACAGAACCCCAAAATCTGCTATGAGCCCAGCCCTGCTCCTTAATGTCTCTTTAATTAACAGCCCATCAATCATTTATGTCACATTTTATGCTAAGTGCACACTGAATGAAAATTGTGTGGTAGGTGGTTTAAGATTTTGACCTGGGAATATAGGAATTCCCAGACTGGCTCAGAACCAGGATCCATCCTGTCTGGTATACTTTGACAGAGGCCAGCACCAAATGGTTCAAAGAAAGGCACAAGAAACGTACCGTGCCATTTTTTCATGTCATTTTTCTGTTGTTCTTTACTGCTCCACACCACAGCTTTTCTGCTAGTTCGCCCTGACCGATCACTTGTTTGTGGACGACTGCACCAGATCACATGAGGCTTTGGTGGATGTGCCATGCTGACCTGGTGCGACACACAGACTATTTTAAGATCAGAGGCTAATGGCTCAGTGAGAGGCAAGAAAAAATTGCGATGCCTTGCTGAAGTGTTCCACGTGTGCTGAGCACGGTGATTCTTTGCTGCCTCCCCTCAGCTCCACACTGACGTTTTTCTCACCAGCTGAAGTGTTCCACGTGTGCTGAGCACGACGATTCTTTGCTGCCTCCCCTCAGCGCCACACTGACGTTTTTCTCACCGTATAGACTATTCACGTTCTTCGCGGACACAATTCCGTAGCTTCAGACCATGCTGTCCACTGCCGTGGAAACAGGGCAGTATTTGCCAGGGACGAATGCTAGGCAACCCATCTTTGAGGTCCAGCCAGTGGTGTTCACCCCTGGCTGTGTGCTACAATCCGTGAATTGGACTTTCCCCCTTCTCAGCCGGTGAAGTCTAAAAGTCTATAGTTGGGTGAGGTAATATCTTTTATGGGACCAGCTTCTGTTGGCAAGAGAGACACGCTTTCGAGCTACACAGAGCTCTTCTTCAGATCTATCCCTTTCCCAGACGTGAAGAAGAGCTCTGGGCAGCTCAAACGCTCGTTTCTCTCGCCAACCGACGTTAGCCCCGTGAAAGATGTTACCTCACCCACCTTATCTCTCTAATATCCTGGCACCAACATAGCTAAGGTTGGACCTCCCTGGTCCGGAACCCTCAGGATCTGAAGGGAGTTTTCCAGACCAGAGGAAGTCTGTGGGAAGGGGGGAAGGAGCGCTAGCCTCTCCACTGGGTCCTCTCCCAAGCCTCCTGGCCTTATGAGCTGCAGCAGCCCTGCCGGAGCTTCCAGCCCTGCCAGCTTTCCTGCCCCGCTGGATATGGGCTCTAGTGACTCGTGGGCTCCAATGCCCTGTGGACTCCTCCAGCCGGCTCCACTCCAAGCCACTGGCAACCTCTGCCACGGGGGCTCTCTAGTCCAGCAACATCCATGGTTCTGCCAGCCCACGGATGTTGCTGGACCAGAGATTCACAGACCACGGAAGTTCAGCCTGTTACACACCACTGCATGTGGATGGTAGGGAGAGAGAACCATTTCTTCAAGGGGGCCAGGATCTGGGCCTGTGAGTTCAGATAATGTGGGGCCACGCCTGGTTTGGGTTTTGCTTAAATAAAAACCACCCCTGGAGATTTTGCAAACGCAAAATTGCCTGTGGCTTGTCCAAATCTCCAACTCATGCAAGACACAAATAAGCCTGGAATGATCACAACACACAGTCCCACTAACTGCCTCTCAAAGCAGGTCACACAGCTGCCTGTCGAATTCCTGATCTTTCTGCAGGAGTCATGCGGAAAGCTCAGAAAATCCACCCGGAATTGTCCACTGCGAACTCCTGCTGATGGTAGACATTTCAGAGGACTCATCAATTAGACCAGGAGTGGGGGAATCTTTTTTGGCTTGGGGACCGCTGACCCACAGAAAAATCAGTCAAGAGCCGCACACGAGAGAAGCAAAAGAAAAAAAACCCAAAAAATACAACCCCAACCTGGCAGAAGAGGCTAGTAGATTTTGTCTAGCGTTGGGGCAGCAGGATGGCTGGAGCACCAATGCTGGGGAGGGCCCTGAGCCTTGAGGGCCGGATCTGGCAAGCTGGGGGCCACATCTGGCCCCTGAGCCTGCAATTCCCTACTCCTGAGTTAGACCAACCGTACCCTAATGAAACTTCCCAAAGAAAAAGCAACAAATGGTCTGGTAGCACTTTATAGACTAACAAAACGTGTAGATGGTGTCATGAGCTTTCGTGGGCACAGCTCACTTCTTCAGATGACCGGAAAAAGCATCATTTAAAAGTCTTTTTTGTTTTCTCCTCCCCGCTAGCACTTGGAGAATGAAATTCCAACCATAATCATCTGTATGGCGGTGGCATCCCTTCTCTTAACGTTGCTGCTGGCAGTGCTAGTGGCCAGTAAGTACAGCAGATTCGGTATCCCCCTTACCGGTGACCTGTGAACTAGCGGCCTGATCTGCATTGGCTGCTGATCGGATAAGGATCCCGTTTGCGTCAATCTTTCCACCCAATATTTATTTGGTGACGCAAAGGCAGATGTGAACAATGCATCTTGCAGCTCTTTGCCTGAGCGCTTTTGATTCTCGCTGCCTGCAAATATCGGAAACCAGTTTGTTCTTATTTACTGGGCCCAAAGTAAGGCCTGGTCATGTCCAACCCACCGCAGAGGAGGAATTTGATTCTAGCCTCTTGCTAGTTTGACACGGCTGTAGCGCCACTGACGTACATGTAGAAGGCGAATCAGCATGACTATCAGTGGCACTGCAGCGCAGACGGTCACCTGCAGATTCAGAGACAGGGAAATGGCCGCTTAAGAGCTCGTGCTTAATCCCTAAGCAATGGCGTTATTTTCCCAGCAAGGGAAAAGAAAGGGTTGGGGTGCACTGCCTTGCTTGGTGGGTACCAGTTGCGTGCTGTACCAACGGCAGAGTTTGTTCTTGGAATCAGTTCCGTATCTGTGTGCAGATTCTGCTCTGTTACACTGGGGTAAACACGGGTGCAATGGAAAAGCAATAAGAAAATCGGGCTCACGATGCTTATTGCTTATCCGAAGGATGATCCCTTATGAGTGCCCAGGCCAGAGTTTTCAAACTAGGGGGTCGCAATCCAGGGCTGGGGGGGTGGAATGTCGGGCGCTGGGTCTCAGTGCTGCAGGGGGATCAGGTGAACAGTGGGGGGGCTAAGGCAGCTCCCTGCCTGTGCTGGCACCGCAGACTGCATGGTGCCCCAGAAGTGACCAGCA